GAGATAGATGAGGGTGGAAGGAAGGAAGGGAGGGAGGGAGGGAGGGAAATGGAGGATGATGGATGGGTGGATGGATGGAAGGGTGGGGAGGAGGGAAGGAGATAGATGAGGCTGGAAGGAAGGATGGAAGGAAGGGAGGGAGGGAGGGAGGGAAATGGATGATGATGGATGGATGGAGGGAGGAAGGAAGGAAGGAGGGAAGGAAGGGAGGGAGGGAAGGAGGGAGGGAAATGGATGATGATGGATGGATGGAGGGAGGGAAGGAGGGAGGGAAATGGATGATGATGGATGGAGGGAGGGAGGGAGGGAGGGAAGGAAGGGAGGGAGGGCCTTTCTTTTGCAACTCCATTCTACCTCTAACCCTATTCCCAAGTTGGGTTGGACACTCCTGGGCACCCAGTGACCAACCCAAACGCTCCACGCAGTTCCTTCCACTTCCGATGTCCGGTTGAGAGGCGGCCCCAACTCCCCTCCCCTCACCCACAGACGCCCCTCCCCCTCAGCCTTTCCCAGCCTCCCCGGGACGACTCACCGGAGGGCTTCTTTGGTGACAAGCCAGCCGCAGTCCTCGGGCTGGGCGACGTCCCCCTGGTGGCTGCCCCCCCCGAACTCCTGGCAGCGGGCAAGGGGGGCTTTGCACTTGGCTTGGAAAGGGGGGCCTTCTTAACGTCGGTCGCCTGGTCAGGAGGAGAAGGAATCCCGTCAGAATGAGGAGCGTCTCTCACGTGTCTTTCCAGAAGTTCCTTCGGGTTGAGAAGCTTCCTCCCCCCCCAGGTACAGTTGGAAGAGACCCTTTGAGGTCACCTAGTCCAACCCAGGAGGAAACCTACTACGAACACTGTCTTCTTTACTGCCTCAGAAATGAGAAAGAATCTCTTTGGAGTGTATTCCTCCCCCTGTTACCCAGCTGTGGTCTCTGCCGCCTCTAATCTGGGCGGTTCCTTAAGCAGCATCTTCTTGCTCTTTTCTCTATAATATTATATCCATCTTCTTTGTCGTCTGAGATACCAGGGAGAATCCCTCCTAAATTTCTTCCTCCGTTCATTATACACTAAACAGCATCTCTTCGCTCCGTCTCCCAAGGTCTTCCTCACATATCAGGATACTACAATAACAGAACTGGACCCCCAAGGTACCTTTAATCCAACCCCCTGCTCAAAGAGGAAACCTACTGTTAAAGCCGTCGTCTGTACAGCCTCAGAAACTAGGGAGATCAATAACTTTTTTCTCCACCCGTTGCACAGTGGTGGACTTGGCCATCTCTTATCTGCTCCTTCCCTAGCCACAGGGGTGGGTGGCTACCGGTTCGCACCAGTTTGCCCAACCGGTTGCTAATTTTACATCTGGTTCGCTGAACCGGTAGTTGCAACAACTGGCTTTTTTGAAGCCCACCCCTGCCTAACCACCATCTCTTTATCGAGTTTCCCAAGATCGTTTGCACGTGGTATTCAAACCACCTCCTTTACCGGCTCAGAAACTAGGGGGGGGGTCTCTTTTTCTCTCTCCACCAGTTATATAGCAGTGAGCTCGGCCCTCTCTTATCGTCCCCTTCCCTACCCAGCACCTCTTTGCCGAGACCCTGGAGGTGTTTTGTACCTACCACGACCAGCGTCCAGACTGTCTTACGAAGGGGAAAACCCTGTTTGTGGCACGGTCACCACCTCGGAAAAATCGCCACACTTTTCAGACGGCGTCCTAGTTTGCTTACCTTCGGTTTAGCCTCTCGGGGGGTTAAGCTGGAGGGTTGCGCGACACTGGTCGACAGGCGTTTGGATGTGGTCGCTGCCGCCGAGGGGGGCTTTTTGCTTGGGCCCGGCGTGGCCGAAGCCCACTGCTTGGCGGGGGGAGCACCCGCCGTCCCGGGCTTGGCTTTCGCTGTGGCGGGTTTAGCCCTGGCGCTGGCCAAAGGCTTGACGTGGAAACATTGCCCGTGAGCCGAACGGTAAACAAAGAGGCGATACAGAGAAAGAGAGAGAGAAAGAGAGAGAGGGGGGACGGGGGGACGGAGAGAGACGGAACAAAACGAACAAACAAACAAACAAACAAACAGAAAAGCCGGGTGTTGTAAATGAAAGTCCGAACATAGGCAAATCAAACAAACAAACCAAAAAAAAAAAAAAAAAAACAGGTGCAACTCAAATCAATTCAGAATTAAAATAAGGATGGCGTGATTCTGTTCTCTGAGGTGAAACGGAAAAGTGTAAAATTGGCAAAATTGTCTTTCTTGGAGCTTTTGCAGGATGGAGGTCAACAGGGGTGGGCTGCTAGGCGATTCTCCCCGGTTTGGACGAGCCCGTTGCTAGTTTTATGGCTGATTCGGGAGAACCGGCCAATCCCACCCCTGGCTGGTCCCACCCCACCCCACCCTGTAAGGCCTGCATGGATGTAGGGCCCACCTGGAGTCTCAGGAAAGGTGAAAAATGGGGCTCCCAGATGCTCCGGAAGGCAAGAAATGGGTCCATTTCCGGCCTCCGGAGCCTGGGAGAGGCCATTTTTGCCTTCCCTGAGGTTCGAGGAAAGGGTCCGGAACCCAGGGAGGGCGAAAACAGCCCCCTCGCCATAGTCCAGCCCACCCAGCAGCCAGGGCAGAGATCTGGTTGCTGATGTTTTTGAAGGTCACTCCTGGAGGTCGAAGATTGTGTAAGAAGGGAAGGGGGTTCAGAGGAGGAGGAGGAGGAGTGTGGGGTCCTTGGTGCTCTCTGAGCTGGGTGTTTTCTCGCAGGTGTTTCATGACCCAACTAGGGAACATCATCAGTGCCACAGAAGAACCTGAAGCACCTCTTCTCCACCTTGGCAAGTTGGCCCCGACATCTTTCATGGAGATGAAGATGGATGAACCAAATATGGACTTGGCCCCCTCATCTCCCAAAGATCCCTTCATAGCCCATACATGATCAAGCTGCCAAAGTTATGGACGCCCACCTAAAAACCGTTATCAACTTAATAGGTTTTCTCAACTTTGGCAATGGATCCATCCATCTTTAAAGGAGATGAAGAGGGGTGGACCAAATATGGACTCGCTCCATACATCTCCAAAGGTCCATACATGTTCGAGCTACCATGTTACAGATGCCCACCTAAAAAGCCAGGAACTTATAGCAGTGTCAGGGTTCCGACAGATGCCCTAATTAATTCATGATCCTCGAGCCAAGTTTCAAAAGAAATCTAATTATTAATAAGCAGCAACACGTCGGCCCTTTTCCCAAGCACAGTTGGCTCTACGTAATTTACTGCCCTCCTATGACTCTGTTTCTCCCCTCCTCCTCCCAGGATGTGTCATAAATCACATTCTCCAACCAAAGCACTTTCACGGGCTGTAGAAAGCACCATACAGTCCATGAAAGCGCTTTGGTTGGAGAATGTGATTTATGACAGAGGGACGGACCACCTATAGACTTGGTCCATATATTTCCAAAGGTCCATCCATGTTCTAGCTATCAAGTTATGGATGGTCCACCTGAAAGCCATGAACTTCTAGAAGTGTTTTTCAACCTTGGACAGCTTGAAGATGTATGGACTTCAACTCCCTGGAGTCCCCCAGCTAGAGTGGACCCCTTCGAGTGACTAAGGTTGCGACCGCCGCCGTTCAAACAGGTTGCAAGGACCTTCTCCTCAAAGATCATCTCAGAGAACAGACCTTAGCGCTACAGCTTAGAAGCAGCAGGCTGGAAAAATTAAGCATGTCTGAAGCAGGAAACGTCGAAGGAATCTCACCTTGGTCTTCTTCTCCGGACTCGGGGGAAGGGCCTTGCTGGGAAGGGCAGCTGTGTCTTCTGCTGACGGAACCTCAGCAGGTGCCTTCACCTCTTCTGGTTTGGCAACACAAAACAAAAGACAACGCCGTTAGAATTGACAAGTCACAATGCAACGGGGTTTGAAGGCTTGAAGGACGACAGAACGCAAAGTGCCTATCACAGGGTTGTGTTGGCGGTGGACTTGGAAAGTTTCTCAAGAGCTTAGAAGGAGAGGCCACCTCCCACTCCCTAAGCCCAGGATAACAACTCTGGGGGTGAATTTATACACCCCATCTGCTCCCCCCCGAGACTTCTGTTTCCATGATGTGCAGGTCAGAACCTGGCTTAAGAGACAAGCTGATAGATGTTGGCTTGTAAATCACAAGCCACCTTCAGCAAATATTTGCCCGAAAGATAGAAGAGACTCTACGTGTAGCTCGGGGTGGAACTCTGGGATCCTTGGTGCTCTATAAGCTTGGGCAGACCTTCCGTTACCAAAATAGGTGACATCATCCGTGCAAGGAGGAGGAGGAGGAAGAAGAACCATTAGAAAAAAGGAAAAAGAGGAAGGAGAATTTGGAGGAGGAGGAGGAGGAAATTAGAAGGAGGAGGAAGAAGGTGAAAGAGGAAGAAGGAAAAAAGAGGAGGGAAAGAAAAAGAAGCAGAAGGAAGAGAAGAAGAATTAGGAGGAGGAGAGGGAGGAGGGAGGAGGAGGAGGAGGAGATGACGGAGGAGGAGGAGGAGGAGGAGATGGAGGAGCAGCAGCAGCTACAGCTTGGTGTAGACCAAGAGTCTTCAAACTTGACAGCTTTAAGCCTTGCGGACTTCAACTCCCAGAATTCCTGAGCTAACAAGACTGGAGGAGGAGGAATTCTGGGAGGTGAAGTCCACAAGGCTTAAAGCTGTCAAGTTTGGAGACCCCTGGTGTAGACCTTCCATGACCCTAGGAGGCAACCCCGTCTATGCTAGAAGGGAGAAGGGGTATCCAAGGAGGAGGAAGAGGGCTGTTTCCTTGCAGACATTTCATGACCCAACTAGGGAGCAGCATCAAAGGAACTATACATAAATACAAAGCAAACCCCACTCCCTTCTAGCCCTGATGACGTTCCCTAGTTGGGTCATGAGACGTCTACAACAAAGCCACCCAGCTCAGAGAGCACCAAGGACCCCACAGTCCTTCTTCCTTGTCCTTCTCCTCCTCCAGAAGATTCCTGTACAAGTTTTAGCCAATAAATTAGATGAAGTTGGGAAGATTCTCATGCAGAGCCCCATCGGTTTAATCCATCGGGGTTGGCAACCTTACAACACTCAAAGAGCCAACTGGGTCAGTTTCCCACAGAAAAGAGAACACTGGGAGCCACAAAACCTAATGGGGGTTGAGAAATAAACGGAGTGCCAGCGGTTGTTGCACGTTGGCAGTTGTGACACGTACTTTGAGTGACAGGGAGCCGCAGCAGAAGGACGGAAGAGCCACATGTGGCTCCAGAGCTGCAGGATGCCGACCCCTGGTTTAATTGAACCTTCACATATAATCCAGGCCTTTCACCCCATTTCATCTGGCAGAGGAATTCTGGGAATTGAAGTCCATAAAAAAGAGCAACGGAGCCTTCCTCAACTCGCCTTATGACCCCGACGAAGACCCAAACATTCCCTTGCTAAGCGAGACCGTTGTTAAGCGAGCTGTGTCTCTTTTCTGGGCCCAGGGGTGAAACAAACCCCGACAATGGTGAAGTTAAGTCGTTAAGTGAATTTGGTTCCCCTATGAAGGTTGCAAAAGGGGATCGCGTGACACCACTCCCACCAGGGATGCTGCCACTGTCATAAACACGAGTCGGTTGCCCAGCGTCTGAATTTTGATCAAGTGACCCTGGGGAAAGACGGCCATGATTGTAAGTGTGAAAAAATGGACGTAAGCGTGAAGAACAGCACTAAGTTCCTTTTTTTCCCAGTGCCGTGGTCTCTTCCGACGGCCACTAACTGAAACCTTGTAACTGCAGGACAGCCAGTAGTCTCCCAAACATGGTGCTCAAGCCCTTTTCCTCGCCTCCCTCAAAGGAACTGGACGCAGCCAGACAATCCAAAGGCCCCGGGTTCAGTGGAAGGCAGGCCCACCTCTGCTTTCAAAGCAAGCCCTTTTTCCGGAAGGGGATGGGGTCGCCTGCTCAAGCAGGGGGCTGGACCAGACGATGTCCAAGGCTCCTTTGACGCTCTCGTTCTGTTAGGGTCTCCTGCCTGAGCAGGGGGTTGGACTAGATGACCTCTGAAGTCCCTTCCAACTCTGTCATTCTGTGATTCTTTAGGGCCCACCATTCCAGAACACTTTTTCATCAGGCCAAGGAAGAACAAGGTTCACACTTTGTAGGTAGGCAGGTTGATAGGTAGAGAGATAGACAGACAGACAATAGATTGAGAGAGAGAGAGATGAGAGATGATAGATACGGTACATATGGGAAGGAAATACGGTAGGTAGGTAGATAGATAGATAGATAGATAGATAGATAGATAGATAGATAGATAGATAGATAGATAGATAGATAGATAGATAGATAGATAGATAGAGTAGGTAGGTAGGTAGATAGATAGAGTGATAGATAGATAGAGTGATAGATAGATAGAGTGATAGATAGATAGAGTGATAGATAGAGTGATAGATTGAGAAAGATGAGAGATGATAGCTGGATGATAGCTAGTTAGCTAGACAG